AGTAGATGTAATCGTCTTAAAGCTAGTTGAATTTCTTAGTAAATGTATTTTTATTACTGTTGGATGTTGGAAATTGCTCTTTCCCTATGTGTCCCAGAAATTTCAACTGTTGCTTCCTGATGTTAAATATAAGAGTCCGTTATGTTCCCATTTTCTCTAAAACTTCGTCGTTGTTCAAATAATCGGTCCATGATGATTGCCATACACGAGGACAGCTATCACGTAACAGTTTAGTACTCTATTTTCCCCCCTCTAGGGCAGCGGTTCCCAGCCACCGGGCCGTGGACCGATACCGGGCCGTCGCGCTGGAAAATAAAATATTTTTTCTATTTTATTGATTACCATGATCTGGTTTATTGTGTTTTATTATGCTCGTGACCGACCCCATCCCAGGACCGTGCAAAAACTGTTTTGCATGGTACCGGTCCGTGGCGCAAAAAGGTTGGGTACCTCTGCTGCTCTAGGGTACATAATGAGGAAAGAGGGCTTAGAAGATCTGATACTCACAGGACAGATTTAAGTCAAGAGGGACAGAGGAAAACAACGCATAACTTAGCTTAGAGTAAATGGATATCGGAACATGGTTTAGAAGAAATAACAAAAAGATGAAATTTATTAAAAGCTACAAGGGACAGGAAATAGTGGAGAGCCATGATGCATAACAGTACTGATGTTTTATTTTGTTTTCCCTTACTAATCTTAGTTCAGCATAAAGCCGCAAGTATAGAGGATAGAATCCATTACGCAGTAATCATGGTTAATCAAGCCATCATGCTAATCAATACCCCACGCCGAGATCCCGACATTCTTTGGCACGTCCGATGAACAACTGGCATCCGTCCTTTATTGGCTTCATGATGCAATTAATTCTAATCAAAGCCCCTAGGCTATTCATGTTTCATTTATTTAAAATGCGACCTGAATTTGTTTAAACTTTAGGCATGTGCAGAGGCTCGGGTATTTAGTTACTTGCTTTGTGCTTTTCGATTCTCCCTTCGCTATCCTCTCCTGTCGATCCCAAAGATTCCACCCCGGTACATAAATCATCACTGGAGAATAGAATATAGGGGTGTGTAAGAAAGATGTAATTATAGCTAACCGCGGTAGGCCTGTGATAAGACTCCGCCTCTCGGAAATATTTTCTTTCTTTTTCCTATAAGGAAAAAAAAAAGAAGTCCTAAAGTTTTGTCCGTATTACTGCAATACTTTTGATAATAATTTTGAATTGAGCACTATTTTATGACCTGCGTAAATTCATTGAATGAGAAATGACACAGTCTCCACCTACCAATGTATGTAATTTCCGTTTTTGTGAACAAATTGTAATAACGAATCTATCACCCTAACTAACCATTCCTTAAATATATGATTTCTTTAAATAAAACAAGTGATAAAAATGGGTTGCATACAAAAATGTTTAGCGCAAAAGGCTGTGGATTGACAAAGATAACTCTCCACAATCGACTTCAAAAGCTGAACTTCATGGAAGAAAGTTAATGTTGTTCATTTGGTGGGATCGTCATGGTATTATTTATTTTGGGTTCTTAAAATGCAATGAAGTATTAAATGCGTATTTATATGTCCAGCAGCTACAACGTGTCGGTAAGGATTTGGTCGAAATGTGCCTGTGCTTGTCAGTAGGAAAAATATTTTCCATGATAACGTAAAGCCACATGCAACAATACATTAGGAGAAAAAAAAATGGTACTCGGATTGTATGTTCAACTCCAACCGCTATATTCAGCTGATCTTGCGCCAACAGGTTATTACTATTTTTTTTTGATCGAGGCAAAATATTTTTCTAAATGAAAAATAGATTTAAGAGTCCGTCCAAAGATTTTCCACGTCAAAACCTGCACAATTTTACTCAAAAGGTACCGAAAAGCTACTTGGTAAGTGACAACGTATTATTGCAAATAATGGCGAATATATAATTGAATATGTAATTATTCTTGATTTTTTGAAGAATAAAGTTGATAAACAAAAATGGATACTATTTATGACTCAACCTAGTATAAATTTGATTTATGCTGTAAGCAACCTGTGAAAATGAATTGATACAGACAGAAACATTTCAGTAGTCAATTAACGAAACCTTTTTATTATTATTTTGAGATTCTCATCCAGGGTCTGATAACTTCGAGGACATTTCAATTGATTATTTAAAAACTAACAGAATTTTGAAAAATATTTTTTAAATAATCAACTGAAAGAAAGATTGATCGGGTTCATCTTATCGAACCGGGCGGGGAGATGTTTCTGTTCGTAGTATCTGATAAAGATATTTATTGCTTCGCTCTCAAAAATTCCCAAAAAACTTCCCTTATGCAATAGGGTAGGTTAAGTTTTCATTTTATTTTAGAAAAATCGACATTGCACTCCATGTGAGAGCTGCGGTTTAATGTCCTAAGTACTGCTACCAAAAATTAGATTCATAACTTGTACTAATTTTTGAGCATTTAGCTTTAAATACCGCCTAAAAAATGTACAGAAATAACTAATTTCTTCAGGTTTTTGCTTACAGACTGACTTCAAAAATTTAATATTTCAAGAATAAATCCAAATAAACTTCACATCAAAGAGACATTAAATGGAAAACCCGGAATTCTAATTATGAATCCCTACAAGCAAAACACGCATTTTTTCTTTTATAAAATTCGATAAGTAAAAATTATAAAAGATTACAAAAAAAAAAAAAAGGTATTCAATGAATTGTTAGCTCATAATCCATAAAAACAAAAAAATATATAAAAGTGTATATAACACCATAATAATGCTGGACACAAATTATAAGACAAAATGTTTTAAATTTGCATTGTTTATTAAAATCGCACTAAAACTACTACACTTCATATCACAATATAGCTAAATTAGTCAGTATTATTACCTTATGATGTAAATGAGGGTCTTATTTGATAGCACATTGATTTAGTAATAATGTGTGTATGACTTGCAGCTTGTCCATATACAATTTGTAAAGCTACAGCAAATCATAGATTTTATATGGTTGGGCTATAAGGCTTTCACTGATACCTGGAATGAAATTCCAACGCTACAATTTTAAATTTAAACTTGTTTCTTCAAAAAACGGTAACGGCCTGGAAAAATATTTTGCGTCATTATTTATTATGTTAAACCCCAACATTCAACTTGTGTACAATATCACGGTTCCAAAATCGTCCTGTCACGATTTTATCTCATTCCGACTTGAAGACGCCTGCCATAAAGAGAAAGTTTTTTTTCACTTTGTCACAAATTTTGTTCGGATATTTGTCTACAACCTCGTGCAAATTAATTGAAACAACCGATTTAATTTCCTTTCTTTCACCATAAGTTCAGTTTTAGACCCACTGGAGTGTCAGGATGTAGCCATTTTCTGTTTTTCCTCAGGTTACGTCATTTGCAGTGGTGTGCAGTAATATAAATCTAATTTGTTTAGCCTTGAAAAACATTGCGTCATCAGTGATTGCATTAGATGTTTTATTACACCCAGACACTGTTGCCTCGACTGTCGATTAGTTGTCTTACGGCCATTGTCCGCGATGGACGTTAATCCAAGTAAGCGTATGAAAATCGTAAGGCTGCGCGAAGCGTTACCAGTGAGCAAATCAAAGTACTATCGACTGGCTCGGAAACTCGTGATTCAAATCCAATCAAGAATCTGTGGTCAATCTGCAAGTAACGACTTTGTGGAATGGACATACGAAGTACTAACATGTGCACTGGGTCATGTTTCAGTGGAAAAATACAAAAAAAAAGTAAATAACAGAATTATTCATTTTGTTCCAATTAATTTGCACAAGGGTGTACATCTACACACGTTTGTTTTTATGTAATAATTTATATAAAAATTATTAGCATTTCCAGTTTTATGTCATCTATTTTATTTTTAAACAATATTTTTCAGATATCCCGAGAGTTCCAAAAGGAACCTGTAGAGAGAAACAAATTCTAAGGATCTTTTAATCGGATTCTAACTTCATTTCGCAAAGCAATTCTGGGAGCAAAAAAAGGGATTATGAAAACGTTTATTGACCAAGACAAGCTATCATTCTAAGACATGTTACTGTCCAAGACACCGCCGTTCTAAGACATCTGAATAAGAGATATTAACAAATATTGAAAAATCAAGACAACTTAAATTTGAACGGACGGAATATCGGCCCAACTGGAGTCATTATTTTACAAGTTTGAGTTTTTATATTTAAGCCCGAGCTTCCTTTGCATCACCCTATAAAAGTTTTCATTTTTATATTCAAACGGAAAAATGCTGAAAAAAAATCTTTACTTTGAAGTAATATTTCTGACATCCATTATATTTTGATTATTATTTGATAGCCTTTCTTTTGTTAATTTTCTGTGACATTCATATATATATATATATATATATATATATATCTTTTCATTTATTCAGTGTTTGAAGACACTCTACGATGATTCGAATTTGGGAGGGATCAATTTGTCATCAGAATAGAGGAGCGTATACAGTTTAAGCAGCATGAACTATATTTTCTGAGCTGTATTCTTGTTTTATACAATAAGTGACCCCCCCACCAAAAAAACACACACACACAAAATCTGCATTAATTGTACCAACTGTAGTCATTCATTACAAAGCACATGGAAGAACGACAATAGAAGGTTCCTGGAAAGATCAGATAACTTTTAAAAACAACAAGTTAATACAAGTTTGAAGCGGACGGACTAAACAGATGAAGGCTGGGTAATTTAACTGAAAACCTAAACGATTTTTTCTGGTCTCTTCTTAAATTCCATCCTTATTGGTTAATTTATTTTTCTATAAAATTGCTGACCGCTTCTTCTCCAAAATGATTTACCCATTGATCCAATTATCGGGATTTTGTTACTGGCAGAGCAGTAAAAAATATATACTTTTTTGAACCCAATACATTAATTATAAGAGTTAAAAAAAAACGTAACGGAATTATTTCAGATTGTTAAGTGAATACAGTTTTAGTTTATGTCGGCTAAAATGTACGATGGAATCCTTTTTCTTACCTTCTGAAGAGCCAAGCACCGAGACGTCTCTGTTGGTTCCTGGAAGACAGGGTAATCTTCATAGATTTACAGACAGTGGTGTCGGTCAGTTGGCGAGTTTTGTTACAGACAGAGTCAGCTCGACGTTTGAGAAACGCTGGAACTATAGCCCATTTGAATTTAAAAATGAAACGCTCAATCAGCTCACAGTTCCTTATACCCTTGCTGAGACGGCGGCCATTGCGACAATTTGTGCAATTATGTCCCTGACAACCATCATTGGCAACATTCTTGTTGTTGTCGCCTTCAAAGTAGAGAAACAGCTTCAAACAGTTAGTAACTATTTCCTCCTAAGCCTGGCAGTAGCTGATTTGGCGATCGGAGTGGTGTCCATGCCATTTTTCACCCTCTACCTACTATACGGCTACAAATGGCCGCTAGGTGCTACACTCTGTGATTGCTGGCTTGCTATTGATTATACTATGAGCAATGCGTCTGTGGCGAATTTGCTGATTATCAGCTTCGATCGATATTTCTCTGTCACACGCCCTTTAACATATAGGGCGAGACGAACCCCCAGGAGAGCAGCAATTATGATAGGCTGTGCATGGACGATATCAATTCTTTTGTGGACCCCATGGATATTCTCCTGGCCTTACATAGAAGGTCAAAGAACGGTCCCGGCCAATGATTGTTATATACAGTTTCTGAAGACAAACTCCTATGTGACTATTGTAACGGCTCTTCTTGCATTTTATTTCCCTGTGAGTATAATGACGTTCCTTTATTATAAGATATGGAGAGCTACTGAGAAGAGAAAGAAACGGTTAGTTACTCTAACGGCGGATCGACAACACAATAACAGCAAGCGGTCGACTTGTTCAAGCGATGACGAAAGTCTTGCGACGAGTATGCATCAGCGATGGGCAAATTCATCTCCAGAGATAAGCGAAATTGATTCTTTCACCGAACATTTTAATAATCACCCCGAAAACTATCAAAAGAAATGGATGAAAGTGCTCAAACGATGCTGTTTAGTCGATAAAGAGATGGATTACAAAGAAAATTCCGAAAAAGTCGATTCTATGTTATCGTCCGTAATAACTAAGGACGTTCCCCAAAGCGACTCTTCTGCACCCACACGCCGATTGGCTTTGTATACCACTGCGTTGTCGAATTCTTTAAAGACGAACTCACAGGCTATTCACAGTGACAACGACAGCAAATTTAACTCTTCTATCGCTTTACGAAGATCTCGAAATACAGAACAGGGTGCTTGTAGGGCTCATACAGTCGCTACAGAATCGGAATGTGTAAGCTTTTACAATCATCATTTAGATTCAATATATGTAAAAATTCCCAATAAGGAGAAGTTAACGTTTCGGCTTGTCAAAGAAACCAAACTGGAAAACGCGGAACCAGTGATTGAAAATGATGACTCAGAAGACGATAGTAACCGAACGGAAAGCAGAAAATCGAATTCAGAAGCGACGTTTCGCGTTCAAAATCAAAAAAATCGAAAAACGGAGAATGAAGTCTTCAAAGCAAAAGCGGCCGATGAGAACGACAGTAACACCAGCACACCGGTGATGAGTCGAAAGACGACCCCAACGCTCGATTTGACCTCAATTGCAAGGCAGACGAAACTTGCGCGTTGGGTGATAGAGAGAATGCGAACGCAGCAAGTGAAGAGGAAGAAACAGCAGGGTTATCAAGAGAAAAAAGCTGCCAAAATTCTCAGCGCCATTTTACTCGCGTTTATCATCACGTGGACACCCTATAACTTCTTCACTGTGTTCCAGGTTTTCTGCGAGGATTGTGTTAATGGGACTGTCTATGCAATTGGTAAGTAAATTAAAAATTTACTATTTCTTAAAGAATCATTAACCTGTATAAAAATTAATAACACTAGCTAAAAACAGGAAATTTGCCCTAAGATTAACTATTATCCGATTCCTATAACTTTTTTCACTCTTTATCTGTATCTTCTCGTTATCTCCCTTATCCCTCTGGCTAAATGTATGGAAATTTCATGGGCGTTGAAAACTTCATTCTTTTGCCTGTATCTTCCCTTTCTCTCCCTTATCTAAACATCATCCTTGGTAAGACGATAAACTACGTCAATCAGCAAGGCCACTGATCAGGAGATTTTGAGGAGCTTGGAACTACCTCTTAATTGCTGGTGTTCCCAGGTCCACCCTGACTCGGGGTGGTAGCACCTGTTAGGGTCCCAGCTATGGGCAAATAGTTAACACCCAAACTTGTGTAAAAATAGGTTTTAATACCAGAAATACTTCGTAAAAAAAATTATTAAAGCAATTTTTGAAGCAAAAATTATTGTCAGCAATACTAAAAAAAAAAATAAAAAAAATAAAAAAAAATACCAGCAATACAAACAGTTATACATTCTTTTTCAAAAAAAAAAAATATGACCAGCTATAGATTTCTCCAAGGAAAAATATTTCCAGAAATAGATTTTTGAAGAAAATCATTACCAGCAATAAAAATTTTGTCGGCATTAAATAACCCATTGATGTTGATATGCCGTAAAACAAAAAACCAAACCAAAAGCCTTATCTAAGCCTATTGAATTTCTACATGTGTTGACAGCTAGGATTAACTCTTATCTCATGGTCTATGTTCTTCTCTCAATCTTACATATTTTGATGATTTCATAATTATACATTTTTGAATAAAAGATTTCTTTTCAAATTTATTTCTTCATAAAATGATAAATATTTTTTTGTAAAAGTTAAATAATAAATATCGCATTGTAAGTTTGTTTATGTATTTTTATAATCTTGTAAATAAACAATGTCGAGGAAGTCGAAAGGGTATACAATAATAGCGGTGTCAAGGGAATAATCGTTCATTTGATACATTTCTTTTTCGGTCTCGAATCTTAAACATTGCCAGAATTTGCATATTACCTACCTATGCATAGGGTGAGTGTTCGATCCCAGGTAGAAGCTAATAATTAGAAACCAATTTTAAATACGCGAAGATTGACGTAAAACAATTTGTCTCGCATTCCACACCTCACAATTTAGACTAGTGTCAGCTTAGGTTAAAATTAGATATCAAGTATGTACATTTCTCTGAAACATGCCTGAACTGATCTCAAAGAAGATTTATGGGCAACCTGTAAAGTCTTACTAATGTTTAAGAAAGACTTCTAAATATATAAATATTGAACTGGACCAAAAGTTCATTGTTTAAGAAGAAAAGATATGACATTATCAGATAACAGTTAAGTCCGTTATGCTCATCAATCAGCTTTTTTCGGCCTTCTCGACAAAGTATTTCCTTTTAATGACCGACTCCTCGTTGTTTAGTTTACCCCGCTCCTCAGCTAGAGTAGCTAGCTAATCCGTATTGTAGACACCTGCTCAGGTAGATTTGTGTTTTGTCAACACCCACAGAGCCAAACTGGTTTATACTGAAAAAAAAATATTCAGTAGATCTTAGTTACAGTTTCTGGAAGAGAACACGTGATCTAGCGTTATCAACAGTTTGAACAAGGACAGTACGATTCACCCTCAGTCACGATGACTTAACTTTCTACTCTCAAACAGCTTCTGAACAGTTTCGGCTCCCCAGTTCCACCCACAATGCTTCGGTCAATCCGTGGAATGATTTTTCAGGCATTTTAAATGTTCCGCACATTAGGATCGTCCCCCCAGGCAGATATCCTCATCATCACCTTGACAAATCGACTATACTGGGATTCGAACCAGAGTCTTATGGTCCGAAATTTTCCTATCTCCAATTCATAGTTCGTATTATAGGATATTTATTTGACAAACAACCATACATTTAGTCTTCATACAAACGACGTTTAATCCTTTTTTTCACAATTTCCTTTACAATCATCTGTAGGAGTTCCCGTTTTCTTTATTTGTTTGTTATAATTGTGTTATCTTTATATCACATATTATTACAATTGTGTCCGCCCATAATAAATCCTTGTAGGACCTCTAGTTTTCTAGTGGTCTTTAAAATTTGAATAAGTCCGGAGAGACGATGCATTCTTGTCCTACGCTATTTTTTTTTTTTTTTGCATTCACTGAATTCATTTTCTATCCGCATGCAAGCGGTTTGCTTCCAGGATCAGTTCTATATTATTTTAATATCTTTTCGGAATAAAGTTTGCCTACTAGTTCAAGTAGTTTTTTTTATTCAAAAGCATCTGATAAGGTATGACAAGTTACAAAACACAGGTATACGTCCTTTTGCATTTGTATTGCTCTCTCTCTCTGTTATCATTCTGAGCACAGATATCTCATTCCTTGTCCCTGTGTTGTTAACGAAACCTTATGGTTCTTGTCCTTGTTCCAGTCTAATTCCTCTGTGTGCTCTATTTATCAGAATTCAGAGGATCATTTTTATGTGACTCATTAGGCTGATCGTCCGATGGAGTTCGCATTCATTTGCCCCTGGCTTCTTAGGCAGCACGATGAAAATGGATTTATTTACGTCTTCTCATATATTACCGCTGTCGTATATTTATTATGCCTTATCATTTTGTCAATAACGAAATAATCTGAGGGTGTCAGCATCTCCATTACAATTTCATATGGACCTGCTGCTTTGTTTCTGTTCAGTTTCGCCACGGTTGATTTCACTTCAGACTTCAATATTTCTTGTCCTTCCATATTTTTTTTTCTGTAATGCGGGTTTATCTCTTTCGTTGCGGAAGAATTTGAAGTATTAAGGGATAATGACGTGGATACACACTTTAATGAAACAAGATAAGGAATTTATTTACACATTTGAAGTTATCAGTAGTTTGTTTCAGGAAAAGGAATCAAATGTTTGAAGCTCGTAGTTTCAATGAATTGACAAGAAGAGAAAATGTTCATATTAAATCATCGGACGCAAAGTAATATGCCAAAATGCTTAAAACAAATTGAGAGAGTTTCGTTTTTACACAGTTGTATTCAACATGAACGAAAATATATATTTTAAGGTATTTAGCCTTGGAGTTAAATATAGGCAGGTAATGTATCAGCGTGTAATTTGACTCTGGCGTTATTCAGACGCGTGGAAGTCTGGTTTTCTGGCTCCTGCTTCTTTCTGCTTTTTCTCTATGTGCCTGATTCAACTTTCTCTGCCTATTTATATCAAAAAGCGATTTCACATCGGCTAGTTACTTTTTTTTCTCAGTTTGTAAATCGCGCCCTTTTCCATTGATCAAAATAAATTTTTGCATAGGCTCGCGAATTTGAAAACAGCTGAGAAAAGTTATTTTTATTTCGTATTCACAAATTTTCCGATGCATTTGTTTCATCTTTTGATTTTATACAACCTGGCGATGAGCATGCCTTTGTTGTCTTATTCTTTTGGGCATATCTGCCTTATCCGTGATGATCATTCTTTCAATTTCTCTACACTGCGTTGGGCCAATCTTTTGCCTGCCAACATTTGTTTCTAATTTCTTTGTGTAATCTATATTATATGCTATCTTCATAATATACCGAGTCCCCTCAGGAGATAGACGATCATGGCTCTCCACAATTTTCTGGCATTCGTAGCTCTTAATTTTGTCTTTGTTGCTATTTCTCCTAAACCCTGCTCCGCCATCCATTTACTCAAGCTCGGTAGGGTGGTTATACATTGTTTTCCTCTTACTTTCAATCTGTCATGCGAATATCAGATTTTTAAAGCAGAATGTCTATTTATATTTATATATAATTTCATTGAATGCGACAGACAAGATGCTTTTATTTAGTTTTTTTTTATACAATTTCTCATGCGATCTAATAATTTTTTTCCTTTTCAGAAAATCTTTATATTTTTTATTATATCGTATGGGAAATTGTATAAAAAACTAAATAAAAGCACCTAGCCTGTCGTATTCAAAGAAATGTGCATGAAAGAAGGATTGCTGCCTAAATACACAAATATATATATATATGTGTGTGTGTGTAAGCACTTACGTTTATAACTATGTGCAAAGTGTAAAAAAAAACAAAAAAACAATATAACATTTTTAGTTTTGTAATTAAAATAAAAATAAACACAATATAAAAATAAATAAAAATAGACTAAAAAAAAAAAAATGAACGATTTAATGTATAAAACGTAATTTTATTTTTTAAAAGTTACACTCTTTAAATAGATTAAAGTAAATGTATTTAAATTCCTAAAATAAAATACATCTGGATTATTTCGAGTTTCAAGTGATACCATCATATTTTACGATGGGATTGACTTATTCGGTGAATCTCACTCTGGATTTGAATTAACAGTTCATTACTTTAGTAATCGACTTATATACGAAGTCGACTCCACCTCTCCACATAACAGTAACTTTTAGAAAGTTTGTTAATTGTCAATTTTACTTTTCAGGCTACTCGTTGTGTTATTTGAACAGCACAATCAATCCTTTGTGCTACGCCCTGTGCAACGTGAACTTCCGAACGACTTTTCTTCGAATACTTTTCTGTCGTACTAAACGTAATGCTGGCTACCAGAAAACTATCCTCCTGCAACGCCATCGGCGTCTTCATCTCTCAGGCTCTTATTCGCCTTCTGGTTCCGCTAAGAAAAGTAAGCTTTTCATTCTTTATGCATGGGTTACCTTTTTTTTCATTATGAATTAATTCTAAGATTTTCATTCGATACTATGCTTAAATGAAAACATTGACATGCATAACTACAATTTTGGTTTATTCATGCTGCAAATATGATATATTTTCTCTTTAAGTCTCATATCTCTTCATGACTCTCCCCAGAGTTATTATCTGAATTAACAAAACTTCTCGGGAACGGTAGTCGAGTGGTTTCTCATAGCCTTAGCCACGGTCTTCAATTCAGAGTTATCGACGTAGAGAGCAAAGTCTGTTTTGCTATTTAAGCCAGACCTGAATGGAGAAGAGATGGATTCATGCCTTTTACAAGGCATTAGGGCGAAAGTGAAAACAACGTACCAAACTGGCATTTGAACCCCGCACACAGATTTTGCGTCGATAATCCTACTATCCTCAGATCCAACATACGTCTTAATGAATTTTACCAGAAAGTAAAATTATATTTAAAATTTAATGCTTAGCTTTAAATGCTTAATATTTTCATGTCTTAGCAAATTTTAAAACTGACATTTGTTTTTGAGAAAATTAAATTAACATCATTCTGGATTCAGTTTTTTTGATTACTTCCAGGATTTTTTTTCTATAGCATTAGAATTTTTATAAAAAGTTTTTAAATAAAATTATATTTCGTACAAAATACATAAAAACTTTGGAACATTATAAAGCAAAGATCTTACACGCGGCCCGTGGATTATCTTCGGCCTACTGGGAACAATTTTTGAGACCAATATATTCAGCAACTTTTAATAAGTTGAATAAATTTGTCTATTGTTTTTTTCTATACCAACATACACATTCATCTGATGAGTAAATGGCGCGTAACGATCGACCACTCCCACAAAACCACGATGTTGCAGCCAATCACATTGCAACCATAGCTGTCCAATATTAGCCCATTTAATTTACTTCTGGACAGAGTCGTCAAAAATTTTACAGCCCTATCTATGAACCTGATGCGAACTAATTTTTAGCACGAGAGAACGAATTTCTATCAGTGCCTCCACCCTCTGCAATTAATGTCCCATCGACTGGATTTGATGTCCACATCATCGTTAATATCCCGAGGACGGGCCTGTACCTCTCACTCAGCACGTAACGGTCATTTTTTGTCCTTGAGCTTGACAACCCTGCTATAAAGTGTGACCACACACTGGGGCCACTACAGATTCGCCTAACAAGAAATCAACCCCGCATTTTGTTTAAGAAGATAGCTCGTCGGTGTTGGCCGAAACTGGTATCGTCGAGTGTGTTCACAAAACGATGATGTTGGGGTAAGATTCACTCGGACGCCCCAAAGATAACACAAGTCACTCTTTAATAAAAGAAACTGCATTTATTAGTTCAACAGAACTTCAGATGAGTGGCGGTGCATGTGAGACACCTTATGGGTCATTCAATGACGAAATTAAATTTTCTTGAGACCATTAATAATTTATTTACAAAAATGTACCATCCTGGGTAAGACGATAAACTACGTCCAGCAGCAAGGCCTCTGATCAGGAGGTTTTGAGGAGCGTGGGACCACCTCTTAATTGCTGGTGTTCTCAGGTACACCCTGACCTGGGGTGGTAGCACCTGTTAGTGTCACAGCTATAGGCAAATACTTATCTATTACCAGCAATACTTTTTGAAAAAAAAAAAAAAAAATTACCAGCAACACTTTTTTGAAAGAAAAATATTATCAGATAGATTGACAAAACGACAATAAAGAATTTTGTCGGCATTAAATAACCCATTGAGGTTGATATGCAATAAAACAAATTAAACAAACCAAAATGTATTCTGGTAATTTTTATTTGCAGAGAAGTGTATTGCTGGGAGTATTTTTGTTTTTACTGGACTGGATATATTTTGTACCAACAAATTGTCACGTCGATTTGCTTTAATAAAAATAGTGAACCAAAAGCAATAGATAAATTTTGAAGCCGTCGAGCATAAGTGGTCTTGTCTCGTTTAGAGTTTTAGGTTAATGTCATTCATTGGGGCATTTCAGTGACAAAGTGCATATCAAGAGTGACAAACAAATACAGAACCAAAAAAAAAAAAAAAATGCCAGAAAATTTTTGTCAGAATCCCTCTTGCGCATTTATAAATCTGCCATTCGTCCACACATTGAATATTGTTGCCATATTTGGTCTGGTGTTCCTACTATATATATCTCTCGAGATTCTTGACAAAATTCAAAGAAGGGTCTGTAATGTAATCGATCCTGATCTAGCACCCCGACATCAGTCGATTTTCTCATCGACGTGATGTGGCTCCCCCTGTCTTTTCTACAAATATTTTTATAGCAACTGTTCTGATGAGTTTTACTCCTTGGTGCCTCGACTGCAGGGATTTTAACTACAACTAGGTTTTACTGTTGAACTAGTTAGACACAACCGCCACTTCTATTCTGATAGTTTCTTTTCTCGCACTTCTCATCTGTGGAATTTTTTCCGATTTCTTGCTTGCACCTACAATCTTCAAAGATTTAAATCAACGTCGATCGTCTTCTTGAACTCAGTTCCTTTATTGTCCTTTTCTTCACTATAGTCTTCTTTTACACTCCTTGTAAAACCCTGCGCCCTATTGGCTTTATTGTCTTTCTAATAGTGAATTGATGAAAAAGAAATGAAATTATTGGGAAATAAATCTCATTCTTATTGCGACGGAGGTGGAAAAATATCACGTAATGAAACGCTTCAAGGCTTCAAAACGAAAACTAATTATGAATTCTTTTGACAAATCACAATCAATAAGAAAAGCCTACAGACATCTGAAGAAAAATCTTGATCAAATTATTTGATTATTATCCAATTATTGATGATATTCGAACTAAAATACTAATCTCCATAGAATCACACTTGGATTTAATGTAATTTCGTGGGTAACTATTTCATTCATAATGAACTACATTGGGACAATGATATGGCACCAAATGTTGATCTACGCTTTAAAATTTACTTGATTTTTTTTGTTTTTGATCCTGCAAGTTCAATTCCCAAGTGAGGTAGTGAGAAGAGATTATAGTCTCCAACTCAGCATCGCTATTCATTTAGGTTGTATAATACTACCTTTTTTAAATTAAGTTTTGTCTTCCTTCTAGCCAACCAAGGTTAGATAGCCAAATCTACTCTATTTAACCCATATCTGGGGGTGAAGTAATGGATACATACATTTGATTTAGCACAAATAAATAGAATGTAAGAAACTCGACCTGAATTCGAACACAGCTCGTCAATTTTTCTTTCCGATCTGTTAGCCGTTACACTACCCGCACACCGAAAGTGAGACTGCTAACGCAGACGGAGATTAGAGGGATCGAAACGGTAAAAAGAATCTGGTTTGAATATATATATATATATATATATATATATATATATATATATATATATATAATATATATTATTATTAGTAGTAGTAGTAATCTTATAAGTATAAGAAATTATACTCGTTCGGAAAAGCTTTAGTGTTTTGGTTTGCAACTAATCAAACCAATGTCAAAGGGAGCATTCCCTGACGATCCGCTTAGGTGAAACCGTGGTAGGTTTGTCTGGCTCTCTAGGTTTAACTATATATATCTCAGAAATTCAAACCAGGAAAGCATCTTGTAAGAGACAAAGAGTGATTAAATTGGTAAAAAGTATTTTGCTTAATTCCCTACACCTTTTCGGAACGGAGAACTTTTTTAAGGGAAGCCATTACCACAAACAAATAAATGTGAACTGCTTCAGTAACTAATCTATTTTTATTTATTTTTTTCTACAGGATGGACAGATGAAAAATGAAGGCTTTACGGAAAACACCAGGCAGTGAAACTCTTTACCTGCTCATGAAGAATCTCTTTATACCTGTGACATTTGGATGCACAAACGTTGTGAACCAAATTTAATGCCTGTACTAATCAGGGCGGGAAAAACCCCAAAGAAAGTATTTTATGTCGACAAACATTGAAAGAGATCGGCAAATAGCTAAGATTAATTCATATTGTAACTATCTTTCCAAAAGAAAGTCTCGACAACATTATTTGAATGCAGCTGGTCTGGATTCAGAATGAAATTCCTATTATATAATACAATGTGCATGTATACGAAACGGTTTTGAAAAGATGTCGGCTCAGCCTATTTCCCAGAATCTGATTAATTGATTATACAACGGAATTTGGCTGAGGGAACATCATGGTCTGTCCGAAAACTTTTCAGTACAATTCGTAGAAAGTGTGTGTGTGTGTGTGTGTGTGTGTGTGTGTGAGTGAAAAAAAGTATACAAATAGAAAACTAATAACAAAAAATTAAAAATTAACTTGACATACAAGTTACGAACAAAGTTATTTTATTTCACCAAATGTAAAAAGACAGGATTATTGATTATAGATGGAGTGTTGGGAAAAATGGAAAGGATTTATTGATATATATATATATATATATATATATATATATATATATATATATATATATATATATATATATATTTCTTCTGATCTTAGACATTTTCAAAGAAGCTTAGATACGTCTATATAAGAAAAGATCCATTTTAATACTGTATGAACAAATAGTGAAACCAATTATCACTTGAAAGACGGTATACTTCTAAAATCAATATCAGTGTATAATCGAAATTTAAAATTATTCTTTTTATCAAGTCATGAAAAACTGACAAAACAGCGAAATAACGTCATTTGTGAAAAATGTTTCTGTTTATATTATTTATTGGAATCAGCCAACTTTGTCTTGTAAATATTCATTAGCGATTTTAAAATAAATGGTGGGTGACAAGTGATCATCTCGAATGAAGAATAGATTGTACGAAGACGTTAACAAGTAGCGAGAAACGGAAACAGACCAAAGAATATCTGTTTTAACTCGTTCCAAATGAACAAGCGACATTTTGAAAAGAAACTTTCATCTACATTGAAGATATAAGTGCATCCATGCGTGCACATACGTACGCTCACAAATGTATGTATATATATATATATATATATATATATATATATTAAATATAGGTATCTCCAAGAATTCGCTAAAAAGAGGATAAATGATGAAATAAATGCCCAAAACAATAAAAACAAAACTTTATCGATAAAATCTTTGTGTTATTATTAAGAGGAGAGATCAAAGGATTTTTTTAATGTAAAAATTATTTTATCAGTTTTCGAACTTTGGAAATTTTAGTTAAATAGCTTGTTTTTTCCTGGCGTCAACGTGGGATCTTAAATTTCTACGAGGAAATTCAGCGTCTTTTGGCGGTGAAAAACAATCTGGAAATTCTTGCAAAAATCAGATTGTCTAAATTTATTTATTTTCATGAGTTATTCAGAATTTAATGAAATTATTTTTGAAATTTTTCTTTTACAAAATCTTGTATATATATTTATATTTGTATTTCTGTGTTTTCGCGTGAGTGTTTCTACCATGTACTGAATACACAAACGCACACAAAATTTGACTCAGTTTCGAATAAGACATGGCTCACTCAGTCTGGATAACATTTAATCTTGCTAAGCAATAAAATAAAGTTAGACACTCACGTTTTTTTAGGTATGTTAACGATCTAAAATATATGCATACACGCAAATGTACATACAATTTTAATCAGAGGAGGCATCTTTTTTTCCAAAATAATCTTGAAGCAGAACCCTTCGACTGTAATCCTCTTGTGCTCGTGTCATTTCTTGGAATTTTTTTTTCGCCCGCCAAAGTAATGGAGTCGGCAGTCCTTATCACAAGCTCTTTCATCTCCTACACGAAAGAAACCTTTATCTATAACCAGTCTTAATCATTTCATAGTATAAAATGAGTCTAATGACGACCCTTAACACCTGAACTTTGGAGACGTAGACGGGCAACTGCGTACTGAACATTTACGTACCAGACAACTGCGTCCCTAGATAAGTGCATACCTCTGATAATTTTTTGAAGTTACCATATTTTTTTTTAAAGAGTTGTTTAATATAGAAACTTGCAATACCTTTATTTACTCTAAGCAGAAAGGTAGTTACCATAGATAGAAAAAGAGAGAAAAAAATCATAATGTGCATAACACAACCATTTAATAGATTCTGGATTTTATAGATTATATTTTTTATTTGGAACCCTTGGTTAAGTTCCGAAAAATCAAACACCGGTGAAAGAATATTTGTGGACGAGGAAAATCACAGCTACCACTAGCATAAGAAAAATGCAGATGAAATAAAAATATACTGGCGATGTGTAGAGCGATCTTGCAACACTGTTAATCTGTCATTGCATTTTAAACAAAAATAAACTTTTAATTTTTTTTATTTTATTCCTTTTTTAAAAATTTATGATTACTACCTATGCTTATTTCAAAGTCTATGGTAATTGCTTTTAAAAGTTAAAAAAAAAATGATCAGAGGTACGCAATTATCCAGGGATATATTTATCTAAGGAAGCAAATGTCCAGTACGCAACTGCTCTAGAACCTTTTGGAGAGCTATGATAGGTGGATGCTTCAAGAATGGGCTGGAGTGTTACAACAAGATTTCAGAGGGTCCTATTGTGAAGTAGATTAGACTTTTGTATGGTTTTAAAATAAATGTCTGTAGCTGCCTACCATCACTGAAAAAGGTACCCGATCTCGTTGGTCAAAGAAAATGTAAAAAGAAAGAAAATGACTGCCCAGCCAGAACAGAGTCGTTGCGAATTCCGGGTCGTCTGGGTATGAAGAAATAAAATATCTACAAGCTTCCCCACAAAATAGTCGGGACGGTGAGCTTAGCGGTGTTAGTTATGCAAATGATTCGTTTTGCTTTCCAACCGCTAATGTTTTGGGCTCAATAAACGGAGACATGTTCTGAGAAGAAGCGGTAGGCCGTGGTAGGAAGCGACTTCAGGACGCCTACTTTTACGGCAGTCCACTGTAGATTACCTTTGTTGCTGTAAGTTTTAATTTTAGTCCAAGTCAGTTACTATTTTCGTTTTCAACCTTATTTTCTTGTGAACGGTTTTTGTTTTTATTTGGACTCTTGTTAATTGTGTATTCAGCCGGAATGCCGGAGCATCCCCAGCAGGAAGATCGGCAGGAACAACCTTGGGCTTAGCAGCGGCCCAAGAAAAAAAGATACCAAGCATTTTAACGGTATGCAAGAGCATTACCGAGAATCTGTGAAAACCACAGATGTTACGTTGGCCGGTGTTAGCAGAGAGGCTCGAAAGAGCTTCAATACTGGAGTTCGTGCCCGCGAAGCAATGCCATGTAGGACATTCTGCTGGCAGTGAAGTTAGCGGGAAGCATACTCATTACAAAGTCTGTGAGGTTGCGGACTTAATACTTGAACACCAGACGAACCAAGGTGACGCTTCACGGGGTACGCATGGACAATTCCAAGACCATTTGGAGGCATTTTTCTCTCGATACGGACCCGTCGGGATATCTCACCTTTTATAAGAAAAGCGGGTATTGTCACTGGAAATTTTGAGCTTCAGGTGACAGTGACCCGCAAGATCTTTGTTTGGGTCGGAATATATCTTTGCTGGATTTGTGATACCACGGGAAATTTGTCCAAGTGGTTGAGTCGGAGCAAACGAATAAAGCCACCGATGGTCAAGGGGGAAGGAATATGTCGTATCGGCAGATTTACAGCCGAGAGGGACATTTCTTATGATAGGAAAGCCCACTTGAGGCCTTTGTTTAAGTATACTTCCGTTGACTGTGAGGGTGAGATAACAGAGCGCGAAGTCTACGAGGCATTGAACAAGTTTGGCAGTGGCAAGTCTCCGGGACTTGATGGCCTGCCCTACGAATTGTACTTGAGGCTGTCGTACATGTTTGTACAGATTTCGACAGTGGTGTTCAGAAAACTAGTTCAGGCAAGGGTCTGTCCTCGATTGGATCCCCAGGAGTGTGATCACGCTGTTGAAAGAAGACAAACATGGTGGGCAGAAATTAGACGATTACAAGCAGACCCATAACTCTGCTAAACAGAAAGTTTAAAGATTTTGGCCAAGATCCTGACGGTGTGTTTGCTGTCAGTTGCCGAGATCCTTTTAGGCTGAGTAGATTTTTGCTGTAAAGGGACGAAAAATTCATAGCAATCTGCATCTGATTCGCACGATCATAGAGGGTGTAAAACTCGACAAACAAACCCGTTTCTGAGTGTCTATATTTCTGAGATGAGGTATTATGTACAGTATTTACATTATTCGGACTATTGTCCTCATCTTTGTCGCCATATTTATCACAACGTTTCGGCCGTTGTACGCTCCGGCCTTCTTCAGGTGGTTGGAATTTCGAACTGAACCCTTTATTTCGATCACTGGGGTAGACTGTTCTAGTTCCACGTGCCATGTTTGATGGATGTCAGTTATCAGTTATCTCCTGCTAATTTTCCCTCTGAAAGAGGGAAAATTAGCAGGAGATAACTGATACCCCAGTGATCGAATCAATTTGGATCTGTCCAAGTCATTTGATAGGGTTGACCATCCGTGCCTCTAGGTTGGCTTTCCTACGCTGCGCATTGACTGGAAGAGATCCGATTTTGGAGGGGATTGTTAAGGACGCGTTCCCTGGCCTTACCATCAGTCCTCCCATCTCGCGGGTTGAGCGCCGTCGTAAACCCCGGGATCAATCGGTTTTCCTTCGCGAGTGTCGGTCGGCCTTGAAGGTCGTTCCACGGTCCAGTGACCTTTCACGGCCTAGGAAGGTCTTCTATCGTGGATTAGTGGAGGGGCCCGCGAAGGATCCCCTACCAGATACGCTCGTGAATGGATAATTGTAATGTGTGAATGGGTCGTGAATCTGATTAGCTAGGTATAGGATAGTTAGT